ATTTTAAAACAGTTTCAGGGTATTAAGTGTTTTGGAATAAAAAGCATGAGTTATACAGTATCTGGCCAATACAATATGGGCATCATTTCAGTTAGTTCATTTTATAGAAATATTAACATTTGTCTAAATATTTTGTATGAACATTAAATCTGTGAAAGATAAAAATATGTTGTGGCTTATTACTATGGAACACAAGCAGGTTAACATTAATTTTAACTTGGAACAGTAGATTTAAAAATCTTCTTAAATGAAAAAGCCTACTACCAACAAGCACTAGGTGGTGACAAGGTTCACAACCGTTACCTTTCAAGTATCCCTGTGGTGTCCTTGACTGCCTCGTTCGCACAAAGACAGCTAGCGTGACAACATTTCCAACCACAATGGCAAATGCCAGGCTGACCATGAATGCCACTGCAAAGGTGTGATTGAAAACCCCACAAGAACAGAGGGCACAGAGAGGGACCAGTGATTCCTGGGCAGCAGTCAGGTTAACGGGATCATCTGTGGTTGCCAGTAAAGCTGCTGTGCTCCCAGGAACACTGATGTTGGGAAGCCGAGCAGTCATGGCCAAGGATACGCTGGTTTGTCCTTATGATGTGTCACTGGCTTGGGTGCTCATGAAACCATGTCCTAGGCGCTGTCTTGTTGAAAATTGCAAATACACACAGTTAAATCATTTGTGCAAACTAGAGAAATGTAGCAAATAGTGTCTCATTAATATTTTGTCATGGTATTCTGGTACATGATCTCTTTCAATAGTCAATCAATCTTGTATCATCAAACATGCGAGTAAAGCATCTTCACACTGCTTCTGTCACCTATTGTGGGTCCTAGAGTCACCAATGTAAAATCAATTCAAATGAATTCCAGCCATCATTAGTGTTATAACTTCTATAATTATAAAACCATGAATGATGTAGCAAGAAAAACGTACACATAAACACATCTGACATAGAAAACTAAATCCTTATGTCCGGATTTTGCTTTTGAGCAGCAGAAACGTATTGATTATTTTTATAATAATTGTAATGTGCTGAACTAATGGAGTTTAGTCCAGGTGGGCTATATATTGCTGAAATCCTTTACATCATGAACCTTTATTTGATCAATCCATAAATCCTTGTAATTTCCCCCGATCTAAACCTGTGTGCAGCCATGTCATCAGCATGATGTTTCAGCGTGGATGATGTCAGCACATATTTTAACAGGAGTTCAATAGTTGACATTAATTCATATGGAACATCAGATATCCTTGGAAAGTGTAAGTCACTGAATCTAAAAATGTGTATTGTGTGTTCCTCTAAGAAGGCTTATGAGTTTTGATGCAAATTGCAGAAACCAGATGCTAAAGGTTTCACCTGTCTATATCTTTGCCTCAATGTGATGTGTCACTCTTTGGAAACCTGCAGTTTGTCATTGTCTTACATCCATGATGCTGAAACAACTGTTAAAGTTTAGATTGTTGTTCATACATGCAATGAAATTCTTTGACAGGGCTGTGTCCCTGAGTGGCACGTCAGCAATCTGTAGGAACACTGTGGGGGCTTGGTCAGGGCTAACAGGCCAAGTTGCCTGAGGCACAGAAGGATCATGTTCAGTAATAGGGGACAGGTGGGCTCAGAGATGCCCGAGGCTGAGTGCCACAACACATGATGCAGAAAGATGACTTGTTTTTCACATCTTGACCTGTCAATCAGTTTGTTTCTCTTGAGTTTGTCAGAGAAGTGCACAGCCAACACTTCATAGAGATACAAACACACGTGTTCTTGTTATTGCTGTTTTATATTTTCCTGTGTTAGTGTCTCACAGCGGTGGATTCCTCTGTCTGCATTTATTCTTACTACGCTTCTGCCTCCCAACAACAGCTTTACTTTGCCTCCCACTCTGTTTATTTAATTGATTGCAATTTCAGTTATAGGCACAAAGGGCTGAAAAATTAATTATGCTGACATCATAATTTTGCTCCTTTTGCTTAGGAAAACACTTGATGTGCTCAGTTTTCTATAACTTCCTCTTGAAAAGTCCTTCGAAATGCGAAACAATATGAACTGCAACACTTGCATTATTAGAGACTTAATACAAACAGTATTTTCCTGTTACATTTCCAGGGATCTTTTACATTTTCTTTTTGGTGTTCAGTTAGTGACTGAAATATTTTGATGACCTACTTAGCAGCAACATAAAAACCATTTACTCCATGGATTAACAGTATTTGTCTGCTTTTAAAATGTCATGTATAGATATATTTCTAATTAATATAATTCAAGAGCACAGTTAACAGTTAAGCATTTAAAGCAAACTCATTATTCATATGCAAATGTGTACAGCATCTGAGTGCAGTGTCTCACACATCTGTATTTAATCAATGCTCAAACTGAAGTTTTAAAAAATGTAGAATGAAAAATTGTTTTGTCTCCTTGTTTGGCCGTTGTTATGAAAAACATCTGTTGTATATTACCATACATGCATATGAAAAATAAATCAGGTGGAGTGATCTTACCAGCATCTTCATTGTTGTGGGTCGCAGAGCGGCTGTACAGACAAAGGTTGACAACAGGAAAACAAACCAGTATGAAAGCACTGGAATTAACATCCAGTTAAAAGTCCCCAGTGAGGAGGAAAGTGGAGCTGTGGTTGTCTCATCAGTCATTCTCCTGAGAAACACACATGAAGCAATAACTGCCCCTGTGATTCAACCCCTTCCATCCTCCTCCTCTCTCTTGTTTTCTGTGGAGCGCTCAATCTCCTGTCCCCACTTCACTGCCCCCCCCCACCCTCGCGCTCCCTGCATTGGTTTGCAGTCCTTATCATGTGCACACATGCTTCCCTGAGAGCTTCAAAGTAAAGTTCACAGCAGCATCCTCTCTCTCTGTTTTTGGTCCTTTCTGCTCCAAGCATCTCTCGTGCTTTGCATCTTCCAGCTTTCAACAGTGCTGAAATATTCATTTCACTCCATGCTTCATTGTATTCATTTACTGTAATCCTCATTTGTCCTCAGGTAGTTTTTAGAATCTGTTTCTTGTCCTTGGAATAGAGCTTGTATGTGTAGAGCGTGTAGGCCTCGTACCTTGACAGTGTTCTCATCTCTGTGCCTCATATGCTGTAAAAGACAGAGTGAATGAAAGCAACAGAGATAGAAACAGAGTCAGAACCCTTTTGAGACATGCACTGGAACTGTGAAATTCTCTAGACATTACCCAGAGGAGCTGTATGTGAGAACACAAATGTCCAAGTCAGTCGACCATGTAATGTCTGAGTGAGTTGGAGTGAGTCCATGTGAGAAAACAGCAGCGTATTGTATGGAGTATTCACACGGCGCTAGTGGACCAGCGTGAAACCGGAAGAATCCAAAAATCTGGTGGCAAAGAAAAACTGTAATTTACAATGAAGGTACCAATGAAAATATCTGACTGGAGACATGAGGAGATTTCGGAACTTCTGTTAAGAGCTGGTGCTGAAATTGTCAGACAAATTTGAGGTATGGCAAGAGACTCGGTTATGACCAAATTAGAAACTGGCTACGTGACTGTGCCATGTCCTGCATCCTGCATGCTCTACCCAGGTGCTCCCCCCTTTGCATAAACCAAATGGAGTATTTCCAGTAGGTGAGAATGTGTCTGACTGGACTATCTACCGTTGTGTGCTACATATGTGAAAGTGCAACTCTGGAAAAGTCCGAACCGGATTCCACTGACATAGTCCGGAGTTCATATGTGAAAATGGCTAGAGAGAAATACTCATTGTACTAATGAGAGGTGACCCTAATACATGAGAAGGTGTAAAATGCATCCTCTCTTAGGCATTTGTTGAACTTAGCACTTAATGGCTTTGGCCTGTGTGCATGTCCCATCCTCTTTGTTGCCCCCAGGGAACAGAGGCTATAGTATTCAAATGAGACCCCTGCCCACACATATGATTGGAAATACTGGAGAACTCATTTTATGCCTCAAGAGATTGTTTCTCAAGACCAGCTTAACTCTTTCACAGTTAAATTAACTTTAAAGTCCAAAATATTAATCTGAATTTATCTATTCATGCTTTTTTACATGTTGGAACATATTTTACTGGATGTGTGTGAAAGGGAGTGTGTCTGTGTCGTATTCATGTATACAGCGTACTGTTTGGAGTTAATATAAAGAGACAGTTTGCACACATTGGTACAGACAGTATGTTTGTATATAGGTGAAAATAACTGAGCACCATTTTTCTTGTTGTTATTGTTATTTGTATGAAGCTGACTATTTCAATCAAATGCAGCTGTTTGAATGAGACCATGCCCACTTACTTGTCTGTACTGTAATGTAGACTAGAATTCCATAGTGGAAAAAAATGTAAAGATAAAAAAGAAAAGCAAAATCAGATGATTGGAAATAGACAGTTCTATGATTGAGATGCCTTATTCCACTCACTCACTACCATCCGGTACCTTGTGCTAACACTTTGTCTTAACTGTTGATGTTAAACTATTATGTTTGACTTGAAGCATTTCGAAATAATTAAAAATACTAAATTAATCAATAAACTATTTCTTCATAATCAGAAACCTCTGTAACCTCTCCGCCCTCTTGTAAACTCCCAAAGCAGTAATGTGGACTTTCCTCCGCACAGCACATATCTGATACTGCCAGGTTGCCTGCAACAAAAATTCAACAGAACAGTGTGTTGCAATATCATTACTTTCTTATTCACAAGATTTACAGATCAGTTACAACTGGTCAGCATTGTTTACCTTTAGCAAATGGCTGTTTGCGACTGTCCTGCTTTGCAAAAGTAAACACGCTGGCTTATGAAATCGTTTTACTTTGCCAAACCTCTAATCCTATTACTTAACAAAACGAATTGATGACTCGTACAGAACTCGACTCATATGAATGAAAATATGAACAAGAATATTTACACCACATTATTAAACTGTAGAAAAGAGCCAATAGAAATCTCTGAAATGTTGTACAGTGGTATTTTTGACATTACTGTCCACAGACTGAGCTACAGACAGGTGACAGATTAAAGAAAAAACCTGAATAAACAAGCAGTCTCTTCCAGGGGTCACTGAATGGTTTGATGAACATGAAAATTATGTGAACCTTATGTCATGACTTTTGCGGTCACCAGATCTCACCTTACTAAGATATTGGATGTTGTTTTTCCTTTAATGTGGCACTTTTCTATAAATTCTCTTTAGCATACGAGAACCTGTGCTGTAGGTGCCACAAACATTAATCATAAATAAATACAGGCTGGTTAGTTTCCCAAATGATGGAAAGTGAGATTTCACAAATGTTTATTTTAGAGTCCAGGAATTTCCCCCACCCCGTTTTTTATGGAGCAGAAATTTCTAGTGTGTGTCTCTCATCCAATATAAATACCTCTGACTCCAAAGTGCACAACACACTCAAAAGCTCAAGAGGAGAGATTCTACCCACTACTGCAGAAGATGAATATTATCAGCATGTGGTAAGTTAAAATATTCTTTTTATCCTTCCTTCTTTTAATTTCCCTGTATACACCTAAATATAAATAACTCTTCCTGAGTAGCAGATATTATAGTTAGGATTTTTTTTTTTTATCTTTAATTGAATCTCATCATTATTTACACCAAAAACATTTCAATCAGTAAATCTAAGCAAAATAAAAAAATAACTTTGTTTTAAAAAAAGCTATTTAACTTGACTGTTTTCCAATAAGTATTCAGTAATGTTTTGTGAGCTGTTGTAAATCAAATGCTATAATTAAAAATCTTAATACTTAAATAGGCCCGGTGTTGTCTCCATTGTTGGAAGAGCAAAGATTTTTCTTCATGTGACTTATTGTTTCAAGGTTTTCATTGACTGTGCTGCTGCTGGCTACTTGGACCTGTCTGGCACATGTGTCTCCCAGCAAAGAAAGGGTGAAACACTTTGCATCAGGTAACACACAGTAACCTAGACAAACACAAACATGCCTATACTGAAAACAATGGTGTCCTAATTCAAATGATTTCTAGTATTTACAATAATATTGCACATTGATCTTTTACCTATAGTAACTAGCTTAAAAGTTTACTATGAGGTTCAAAACATTGGAGTTAAGTGAACTGAGTAGTCAGAGTCCGTCAGATGGCAATGCTCAGTTTAACTGCAGATCTCTGGAAGTGATAACAATATGCTTTATTGACTGTAGTACATATTCCACAATTTTGTGTCAAGAAGGCCAAACTGAATCAAAAAACATTAAGTTGACTCAGTGAAATACAAGATGATATCCTCATCATAAAAATATATATTGCATCACTGAAGTGGAAAATAAGCATTATTCACATATAGTGTAAATAAATGTGGCACTGATATTGCTCCTTGTGGAACACCCTTATCAGCTATTTTAGTAATGATTTGAAATCATCTGCAATAACAGTTTGAAAAAGTAAAATAAGTATATACAATACATATATAATATATAAATTATAAATAAATAAGTATGTCTATATTTATTTCTCAGATTCTAGGTTAACATCACTCCGCTTTAGGCGAATGGTCGGGGGAGCTCTGGCCCCTCATGTCCCTTGGCAAGCCATGGTCTACATCGCTGACAGTATACTGGATGGAGGTTATGCAGGTGGTGCTCTCATCTCCGATCGCTGGGTTTTGACAGCTGGAAGAAATGTTTTTGTCAGGAAGAGTCGAGAGGACATTCAGGGAAAAGATCCCATCATCCCTAAAGTATACCTTGGAATCTCAAGAAGGGCAGAAGCTGATGCCTCCAAAGAGGTTGCGGTACAAAAGGTGAGCAAAAGTTAAACACAAACTTTTACCTCATAGACCATGTTGGAGCCATCAGCATTCATCATTCAGGTGCATGTTGTTTGCACAAGAATTAGATCATTTTATTTCAGACCAAACCTAATTTTATTTTATATAGCCCAATATTACAAACAACAAATTTGTCGCAAGGGACTTTACAATCAATCGAGATTCAAGCTTTCCATGGATGCCCAATATGTAGTCATGAATTTTGTATAGGATTATGTGTAATATAATGCACAGACATCTGGGTTTTGACTGACATTATTGTTTCTGAAATGGTCAAAAAGCCAAAACATTTAGGTACCGCTGCTTAAATGGAAAAATGGAAAAATCACAAAGGTTTAGGATATATGTGACACTTAAATAGTTAAGTGAAAAAATCTGTTTTTAAAGCTTTTCAATGTATTACTAGGGAGGATATGTTTTCTCCTTTAATGAAAATGGCCAGCCAAATAAAAATGAAAACACTTGTGTTTCCCTCTTGCAGGTTGTTCTCCATCCACGCTTCCAGAACCAGTCTGACTGGGACAACGATCTGGCTCTGATCCAGCTGAAAGAGCCTGTGGTTATGAGTGATACGGTGACCCCCATCCCCCTGCCTGAGAGAGGCCAGGACCTGGTCAATACTGTGGGGGGGTTAGGGGTCATCACCGGCTGGGGCTGGGGGGTCAGCCTTAACTCTTCTCAACTACTCAAATACCTCATACTCCACCAGGCCAATCAGTCTGACTGTAAGAGAGAATATGAACATATTCCATTCACACCAGATGTAGACAACAACATGTTCTGTACCCAAAGCACACAGTATGAGGAAAATGTTTGTTTTGGTGATGCAGGAGGTGCTCTGGTTGTCACAGATGCTGAAACTAGGGACATTTACGCTGCAGGGATCCTTTCCTATGACAAGGCCTGCCGCAGGTACAAGTATGGAGTGTATATGAAAATTTCCTCATATTTACCCTGGATCCACTCTGTCATCAGGGGAGATACTGAGAGATCATCTGTTGTGCGCTCTAATGCAATGTCTGGAATGTTTTCATGGCATAAGTAGAGCTTCGGGTGCTGTTCCTTTGATTTTATAGAGTAATCATTGTAGTATATTGAGTCAGTGAATTTTACATAAATTGGGTCATTAGTTATTTCAGCAGTTAGCCAAAAACAACATAGTGGTCATAGGAATAATCACTGTTGTCTGTCAAGAATAAAAGAGCACATTCTGTGACACTGTAAATCCAACTAAGACTGTCTTCCTGTTAAAAAATAAATAAATAAAAAAGAATATAATGTTTATGCCAGCAGTTTATGATCAGTGGTTACATATTAGAGTGTGGCGACCTCTAGTGAGTGTAGTAATTATGACACGAGTAGAGGTACAAAAACAAGTCAAGTTTGAGTTCTCATCTCCATCCTCCGAGATCCGAATGCAGTCAGTCCAAGTCCAAATCATCAGTACTCGAGTCCAAGTCCGAGTCATCAGTGATCAAGTCAGGTCACAAGTCCCGAAAATCAGGACTCCAGTCAGACTTAAGTCTACAATGAGCTTGAGCTCATTGTAATCTTGTTTGTGCTTCTCCATTAACACAGCTGCATGCACTTCAGACTTGTGCCGAGTTGAAAGTGACATGTAAATGTTGCCAGGTCTGACCTAGTACGATTGCCATTGCCGCATTTACAGAAAAAGGATGTGTGTGCTCATTCAAACATGAAGCCAACACGCTCACATGCTGTTGAATTAATGGAAAAGAGTGCACATCTGAACAGGGCTTTAATTCTGTAAAATGCTGTGTAACACAGTTTTTGATCTAATCTAGATATTCATTTCATATGATGCTGAATAGCGTTAATATAAATATTAGCATGAATCATTGTAGCCTCTGTGAGATATGCAAAGATAACACGGAGCAGGTCTACTCTGTTAAGGTTCATTAAATGTGGTGCTGTCTGTTCATTCATCCACACAGGAACAGTTATTGTTTGTCTCACATTAAACAAAAGCTCGGTGTCAGGGTGAACGTACCGCTGACGGTGGCTGCACATGTGAAGATTCAATCATCAGACACGACAGTGGGGCTCTGAGGCAGGAATGATACAAATCAATGGTATTTTCTGAGCCAGTCTGGTGGAAGCATGTTGTGTACTCAGCTGCCAGGTTACGTACTCTAAAACTAGCTTTATCACCTACCTTCATATTTACTGTACTTACCACACACGCAAGACGCTTTTCACAAGGCGATGATAGGGCAGATATGGTGAAATATATCACCCGATGACCAATTTTCCATTGCTCGTCAAAACCAGGATTTGTTCAAGGTGTGTTATTTATTTTTGTTTTTCATTAGTGGTGGGTAGGCTTTATTCATAAACGATATGCTTACCTGGTCATGAATGATGCTTCCCTTCAAATATTAAATAGATATCATCAGGAAACAGATTAATCGAGCATCAGCGCAGTCATAAATTCAAAATATTTGGGCAGTCTTTTTGTGCTGACCTCTCTCTCCCCCTGCTGTTTAGTTACAAGGATAAGGAATGGAGATTTGCTCAGCAACGGTTGTCTTGCACTGCACTTTAAATACAATTTAGAGGTACTTTTCAGTCATCAAATCATATTATGTGTATAACATACAATTCTAAAAGGGACTATGCTGCACATTGAGTACTTATTTACATTGTGGTATGGATTCACAGGATTTAAATACTTGTTCCGTCACTGCCTTGTTGTTAACTAGGTTCCTACTCAGGTTTTGACACAGTGGTGAAAGGTGACAACTGACAACATCAGTGATAATGACATTTTAAAATCCCAAATTTGAACAGTCTGTGGTTTTGTTTGAACCCTTGTGATCCTTTACTCTTCAACCTCCTTCCCCTCAGCTGAGTCTGAAGCCTGATCAATAGAGAGGTGTGAAGTGGCTTCTCACATGCCTGAACTGTGTGAATGCACAACAAAGAGTTCCTGTGTGTGTGTGGGTGACTGTTGGAGGATATTGGAGCTCTTGTCAACTTGATTACATGGCACACTTTTAACAGAAATCAAACACATTAGGGACAGAAAGTGAAAGAAGAGAAAGAGGCAAACCACTTTTTAAAAAAGAGGGAAGTTTGTCACGGAAAACAGAAAAAAATCTAATTGATGTCACTGATAGATTTTATTCACAAAGTCTTCTACGTGCCTGTCACTTGAATCCAGGTTGCGTCAGGCAGGGCATCCGGTGTAAAACACATGCCAAATGTCAACATGCGAGTCGTCAATGTGACGATTCGCTGTGGTGACCCCTAAACGGAACTCATCCTCCGGGGGCATTCTGAACAGAGTCCACTTTACTGACTTACACTTCTGATGGGTCTCTAACAAAATCTACAGGCAGGAATAATGATCCTTTCAAGGACACATGAGCTCGAATTTGAATCGTCCTTCTTTCAGATTAGGTCACTATTCTAATATACACACACACACACACACACACACACACACACATCAGTACACAAACATGAGCAGATACACAAACTGTCACACAGATCCTTGCTCTCAGTGTGAAATACATCAATAATACAATACACACACAATAGTAAAATCCAAAACGAGCTCAAGGCCTGTTCATGTAAGGCGTAGCAGTCAGTAGAGCATTTTTGTTGCACTTGAAGCAAACGGACTGGAGCTGATGCCTAAACTAGGTTATTCGGATGATACTCGTGGCTATGTTCCTCACCCACTGGCCTGATCTGGGATTATTCTTCCTTACCCACTGGCCTGAACTGGGATTATTCTTCCTCACCCACTGGCCTGAACTGGGATTCCTCTCTTCCTCACCCACTGGCCTTGAACTGGGATTCCTCTTCCTCACCCACTGGCCTGAACTGGGATTCCTCTTCCTCACCCACAGGCCTGAACTGGGATTCTTCTTTTTCCAAGAATACAAAAGAAGAAGCACCTTTATTTTAACATGTACAATGAAATTTTGTTTGGAGCCGAGGGCCCCGGGCGGTGGTGTGCATACACGCTACCATCACGGGCAACTTGGGGGGGTTCAGTGTCTTGCCCAAGGACATTTCGACATGTGGACTGCAGGCACCAAAATTCAAACTTTCAGCCTTCCGGTTGGGAGATGACTGCTCTACCCACCACACCACTGAGTAGTGCAGTGTACCGCTTTGTAAAGAGAAACATTTATTTTAGAAGTTGTAACTCCTCCAGACCTGGAGAATACCGTCTCTGATTTGTCACTTGTTGTTTACACAACCACAGCTTTGAATATATTTCTAACACTGTGGCTGTTTCAGCTTCTTGTGATGCATAGAAGACTTGAGACTTAAGGTCTGAGCTCCCAAATGTGGCATCTTTTGAGACTTTTTTTAAAGCCCACCTTTTTTATTAAGTCCTGATTCTGATCATAATAATTTTTCACTTTCATGCTGAGAGGTAGAGAATACCACTTGTTTCTTATGGTAAATATGAAGCCTGAACCTGTAGCCAGTTAGCTTAGCTTAGCACAAAACCTGTAAACACGGGCCTGTAGCTTATCTGACTCTTGGCAGGAAAGCAAAATAGTGTATGTCCCAAAATATCAAACTATTGCTTTAGCTACAACATGGAGGTTAGTGATGTAAGATGAATAAACAATAATCTAACAGTAAATCATTCATAATAATTTTAAATCCAGGTTATGTTCAAACCTCAAAGCAAAAGCCATTCAAGTTGGGTCTACCAGATAAAACTGAAAATGTATTAGAATGACAGTCATTTTATTTATTTATTTATTTGGTGCAAATTGCTTTAGATTTTAGTTGGTAAAAAGATCCAGTGGGTTTTGACCTCATGAGCAGAATAACAGAAGCATCTCCAACAATCTTGGACAGTTGAATTTTACCGTTGTAGTTGGATGTATCAGCATTTACCAGACCAGTGCCTTTCTGCCAGTTATCAGAGTTCATCTTCGCAGTCAGGGAGCACAGTGCATTCTGTACACTCTGTACTCAATCTTTGCGCTTACACACACACACACACACACACACACAGACACACACACGTACGTACTTGCTGAATCACTGGCATCGAAACATGACAACTGGAACAACACGTTTTTTTGAGTGTGTGAAGTGACAGGACACACGAAGACAACCCAGCCCTCTGGATGAGGAGCTTTACTATGTCGCTAACTGAAAGGAGGCACCCCATTAATTGTAGCTAGAGAAGAAGCAACATTGCTGGTAAAGAGCTGGGTGTACTTTGATGCAGCACAGACTTTATTGTATTAATAAACTGATGTTTTGGCACTAGTGTGTCATTTTCAGAAGTTAAATAGCCAAACAACTCACATCATAAACTTTATAAAGGTTAACATATACTGTACAGTACAGTGTGTAACAACACAGCTCCTGCATATTTCAGCCCTACATACATTATACTAAGTGTCATTTTTTTAGGATATGCTATACTTTTCACTGAGAGCATATTTCTTATATGCTCTTAATTTTTTACATTCAAAGTGGGCTTTGCTGTTTATATTGAAGCCAGTACTTGTCAGCTATGCACATTAAATTGATTAAAGCTGAAGATAATTTTAAACTTAGGACTGAATTTACTGTATATTGGTAGTATTTATACAACTAATAAAATAGGGTTTAAATTGCAACTAAGAGAAAAAGCTCCACTTGTGATCCGTCTCACAGGATGCAACCTGATCGCTGAACTTGTCTCACGGTTCTGTGCTTTTCTGTGGGATTTGTCCTGTTGTCTTTGTCTCCTTTTTATCCTGCTCCTCCCACACAAACTTTAAAGTGCAGCCCTGCATCTTGGACTTGTAGACGCTTTCAAAACATTGGTTTTGCTCCTCCGTGAACATGTTTTTCCAATCTCCAGTCTTACCTGAATTGTGGGAAGAAAAAAGGAGTGAAACAAAATGAATCATATTTTATTAAAGGCCAGATAAAAGATTTCAACTACAGCTCAATGTATGTATTCAACTGAAGCTTAAAAACCTTTTCCTTTGTTAGGTATTTTAGTCAGATAGATATTGGATAGATACTTTATGTATTAGAAATGTTTAGTGGAGATAGGATGTCTAGTTAGACTGTTAAATGCTTAGTCATGCTTATGAGTTTCTACAGGGTACATCTGGTCAAGGATAACTAGAGAGAAGAGTTGATGACTGTCAGCAGACAGGATGTTTAATATTATTATTATGACGTGTATAACTGTAGCCTTAGCCATAATATGTTCTTATGTTTAAGTCACGACATGTTACTAGAAGTCTGTGAGGATGTTTTTAGTTACACACCACTTAATCAACAGACACACACACACATTGATTTGCTTCATGTTTTGACTACTACTATGACCAGCTGCAAAGCTGGCAACAGAGACGTCTCGGTTGACGTTTCTGTGTAGTATGGGGCTAGCCCAACCGAGGGGATATAATGTATAGGCCTGGTGGGTTCAGGGTCTTTCATCTTACATCTGCCTGCGAGCAGTTTGGAGGTGCAAGATGCCTGAGCGTGTAATGTTAATTTTACCTGTGATCCTTTGAATAAATCAGCACTGTTTTGAAGTTACTTGGACTGTCTTGTCTCTCAGAGTTAGCAATGGTAACAAGAACCAAAGACCAACACCTTCTTCTCCACTGATCACAATTTTAAGTACTTCTTTATTTACAGACATTATAGTGTGGATGCAAAGAAATAGTTTGATATTGTGGATTAAATTAGAAGACTGATACCACTGTCACATCACTGGCCTAGAATAAAGCTAGAGCCGATGGTTAGCTTATCCTAGCGCAGAGGCTGTAAACAAGGGTAAACAGCTAGTCTGGCCTTGTCCAAAGGGATCAGAAACTGTCAACAGGCACCTCGATAGCTCTCTTACATGTTATCTTATTTGTTTAATCAACACAGTAGTTTTATGAAAGACTCAGTTACAATTCCTGTCTGAGAAATGGCCCATAACTCCCATAAAGCCACAACTCATCTAAGCACCTCCGTTTGTGTAGATTAAACCAGCTTTAGAGGTGATGGCAGACTAATTGTGTTACGTTTGGACTGAGCAGATGTGAGACTGGTATCAAGTCTTATCTAACTCTTGGCAAGAAAGTGTGTCCTAAAATGTCAAACTATTCCTCTATTATTATTATTATTTATTATCGGACAGGACAGGAAGCACTAAAACTGAGATTTAGTTGCTGTCATTTATTAGTTTAATTTTGTGTTATTGTGCAGTATTGTTCCCAATAGTTTTGTTGTGTGACACTTTAAGATAAAACTGCTGGTACTACTGTGGAATTACCTATGAGCAGTTCAACCTAACTACTGTAAATAGATTTCTTTTTCTTTTCTGATTGGTTCAATTGAAGGATTTCTAGACAAGAGAAGAAAGTATCAGTATGTGATGAATTTGTGTATCACATCCAGTTTCCTTTTTGTCTCTTTGATTTTCTTGTGACCCCACAGATTCATCTTGGCACCCAGATGAAGGTCCTGACCCCCAGGGTGAGAACCCTGGTGACCTGTCAGCAATTTTTGGATTGATATCAGGTTTGTTTAGTTAGTTTGGTCACAAATTGTAGGATGCAGGACACTATCAATCAGTGAGGTTTGTATTTATGTGCATAATAATCAAACAGAGCCTCACCATTTCTCATGAAGGAGCCTTTGCTGTGGTCCATTATCTCTTCAGGAGTTAGGGTGTGGTTCACCATCTTGTTGTCTTTCATGCTACTGAAGCTGCAGTGTTTCACACAGTTGCTGATCTCGTCCTCTACCAGGGGACACTGCAGGAAAGAACCGATCCTCTTTATGGTGCCATGTAGGTCCTGGCAGCAGGAAGAAGATATTAATAATATTAAATTGATTTTAAAAAGGAACCAATCCGAAAATTTTATATGGACTGCAACACAATCACTGTTGTATATGAGCAATGTGCTATGTTAAAATAACAATTTGTAACCTCTGATATAACATTTTAAGTTTTGAAGGCAAGCTTATTGAAGAAGTGACTACAGAATAAACATCAAGTTCATGAACTTCCATATAATTTTGCAGACTTGCTTCAGCCCACGTGATTGGGAATCATCTTACAGGAAACCATACTGTTGATTTGAAAGTATTTGCTTATAGACATTTAGTGTGATGAGAATGATTAACCTTCTCCTTTACCATCGACATCTCTTCATAGGTGACGTTCAGCAGATTGTTCATCGTTGCTGTCTGACAGGTCCAGCCTTTAATATGGTCGAACCAGGAGCCAAAGTGCACTGTGACAAGTAAGTAAAATCAAGTTGTACTTTTGGCTGCACAATGATTAAAGCACACATCTTTCGTCCTCATGTCAACTCACGTGTGCCCTCCAGGAATTGATTTAAAAACTCAGCGAATGAACCAGCATCAGGGAGAAAGTTGGCCATTTTGTGGAAGTAATAAAAGGACACCGCCACATCTTTAGGGTTTCTGCTCACATAGATGATCTGTGAGAACACACAGAGCATTCTGTAGTTTAGGAGCAGTTATAGACTAGAAAGCAGTTATATATAGAGAAGAAAGCCCTGTCCCTGTAACACTTGCTCCTGGACCTGGGGACAGACAGAAGTTTCTGATCAGATGATCGCAGGTCCAAAATGACCCGTGTGTGTCTAGAAACAAACAAATGACAGCACTGAGCACTGGTTAAGCTTAAAAGCACAGAAGTCTCCTTACACAATTAATGTTAGCTTTAAAAAATATTAGGGAGTGCCTTGGTATGGTTATAGCACATGCCACATGCACTGAATAAAGGCACAAATGCCAAAAAAAGTTGACATACAGTTTGTCTCGTTCTAATTACTGTATTTGTAACATTTGCATGTATACATATCCTGCTCTTTCCCCAAATTATGCCAGACAGTGGATGCAGATAGGCTATGTTAATGTGAAAAATCATATTAGACGTGTGTGCAGTGCAAACAAACAGAGCTTCACAGACTGTCGATACAGGATTTAATCTGTGTTATTGAATACACACAAAATTGTGAAAAGAGACCTGTTTAATTTTTTTATCTGAAGAATTACAGGCACAACAACATGGCAGCCTGTTCCTATATCATATGTCAGTTCTTCTCAATTGAAACTCATGTCAAACAGAGGCATAACAATATGATTTATCCCTGTAGTTTCTGTGTAAAACCCTCCACAAAGGCTGTGGAGGGTTTTTATAAAACCCAAAGCTTTGACCAGAGCACTGCAGTTAACGGATAATTTAGCACTTTGCACATTCATGCACTTTTAGGCAAAAATTTCCAAAATATACTGCAGCAACAAAATGATATTGTTAGGGCAATTTTATCTGTGTATCTCTTATACACAGAACAACTCTGTGGTTCAAATAACATGTGAATCTGACCTTGGCTTTGGAACCTTGGAGGGCAGGGCCCAGCAGGTGATGAGGCAGGTGTGTGGTGATGATTCGAGGTGTGGTAGACGCTGCCTCTAGCATCGCAGCACAGTAGTAATGCTCCAGCCATGGAGCCCGGGCCCAGTTTGGAACAGTTTGGGACAAGTGTGGATCCCCTCTGCTGAATATGAGAGTCACAATTTCCTGCATCCATGTGGTGCCTGTTGAGAGGAAAGAGAGAAGCGGCAACAAGATACTTTAAAAGAGTTCATAAACCAAGACGGCAAAGTAATGAGTCTTTATGTAAATGTAACTCATAGTATTACTGTGCATATTTAAATGGATAAAGTTTGCAGTGAGTTAATCAACACGCTCATGTGATTAGTTGCATTGTGCCTGAGTTCAATGGGTCCTCATCACTTTGTCTTCTCTTCTTACCTGACTTTGGATAAGAGGTGATTAGGATATCTGTGTCCTGAAACTGAAATTTGAGCGCAAGTTGCAAGGAATCCTGGGTGTGCAGGTGTCCAGGAAATGAAATACCATGAAACATCTCTATGACATCCAACCTGGACATGATCAGCCTTGAGATAAGTACTGGTCTCTCTTCCTTCTGTTGCTGCAGCCTCTTGACTAGTTTTACTTTTGTGTTTGCCTTTTTATAGCTTTGCCTCTCTGGCTGTCTTTGCTGTGTGTCTGTGAGAAAGAGAAGAAGTGGCAACCACTCAAGCTCTAAGTTTACTTAAGAAAGGCAGTGCAAATTGGACTCCTCAAGTGGGTGTCAGACAGGGGCGCACTTTACCATTAGGCGAAGTAAGCAAATACCCGGGACCCCCAGGAGCCAGGAATCAATTCAGTTCAAATTCAATTAAAATTTATTTGTATAGCGTCAGATCACAACAAAAGTCATCTGAGGACACTTCACAAAGTAAGGTCTAGACATTACTATTATCACTATTAATATAGAATGAAAAACCAACAAATCCCTGTTATACCCCAGTTCTTTTATTGGACAGATATCTTACTAAACTGCATTACTAACACATTAATGTCTAATAATTATCTGATTGATTTACTAATATCTAACATCCCCCTTGAGCAAGCACTTGGTGACAGCTGGGAGGAAAAACTCCCCTTAAAGGAAGAAACCTCCACTGATGCTTAAATCAATAGTAAACACATCAATAAGATAAGAGTACATGGATCTTAATGAAAATACAAACAGCACAAGTATGAAAGATCTATTTTAATTTTGTATTTAGCCTGCAACACCAAAAACTAAACACAAGGACACCAATTCATCATTCTATCAAATAAGCAAGAGTCTGTTTACTGTATGTACTGCCCCGTGTTAATGTAGACAGATTATTAACTAAACCTAAGAAATGTTTTGTTTGTTGCTAAAGAGAGGTCTGAGGGAGAGCGGCTGATGTAAGCAAGGCTGTATCAACTTAACTATGTGGGTCTGTTTGTATCAACTTAACTATGTGGGTCTGTTTGTTTTTGTTTTGGACGTAATCACCCACAAACACACACAACCAGGAATTAGTTCTCAACCTTCCTTATAGTCTGAAGACGGTAAAAATGATATAGTAATTACAGATTGCGGGTCCGTACATACTGTACAACTTTATGTTGCTTCAGGCAACACTTTGAAGATAAGCAATCAAAAAGGAGCACACCATAAAAGGTCACACACTGCTCAAGCTTGGACAAATAAAGAGAGACCACAGATGGATTATAACTAAAAAAAAAAGGTTTTTTTTTTTTTTTTTTTTACATGATTATAACAGGAAATGAACTAAACCGAATGGACTGGATGGAAGCTTGGGAACACTTAAAGCCTGACTGACTGCCACCAGCTTGTGGAGATCAGGCCCTGACACCAGCTGAGCTGAGTTCTCCTGATGAATCCCTGCAACTTCCTGCAGGGAGAACCAAGAGGTGTCTCGTGATGCTTGGGTGACTGTGCAGTCCTGCTTTGTCCAGCCGACACATTTAAAAAAGATCAGAACATTTCTTTCATTTGCAGATCTGGAAAAGGCAAACGGCCATCCGTGCTTTTATCTCCTCCAGGCTCAACTACTACAATGCACTTTATTCTAGTTTCAGTAGGCAAAACATTCAAAGACTAAAACTAATGTGAAGCACTGATGTCAGACTTTAACATATTCCAAGAGAAGCCACCACTTGCTGCCCTTCACTGCTCATCTGTGAGTTTTGGCCTATATCTGAGATTTGGCTGAGATCTTTTGGCCATGGCCTCACTAATGGTGCCAAAATCTTGACTTGTCAGTAAAGGTGAGCAGGCCTTTGCAAACCCAGTATTCTCTCTTAAATTTCTTATTGAAACTCCTTGGTTTAACTGTAAAGCATTCTGTTTTGAAAGATGTTATATCTTTAAATGGATAAAGTTTGCAGTGAGTTAATCAACACGTTCATGTGATTAGTTGCATTGTGCGTTAAGTGACCCTGAGTTCCATGGGTCCTCGTCCGTTTGTCTTCTCTTCTTACCTGACTTTGGATAAGAGGTGATTAGGATATCTGTGTCCTGAAACTGAAATTTGAGCGCAAGTTGCAAGGAATCCTGGGTGTGCAGGTGTCCAGGAAATGAAATACCATGAAACATCTCTATGACATCCAACCTGGACAAGATCAGCCTTGATACAAGTATTTGTTCTGGCCTCCCTTCCTTCCTTTTTGCAGCCTCTTGACTAGTTTTACCTTTGTGTTTACCTTTTTATAGCTTTGCCTGTCTGGCTGTCTCTGCTGTGTGTCTGATGAATGATATGCTCTGGAAAATGTGATATGCTGAGTTTCTCAAGGCGACAGGAATGATATGCAAAACAGATGATGTTTAAGCTGCTGTGCTGGATTTATGACTGCATTTATGAAATGATGCTTTCAAGCTCAAAGGATTGTTCATTTACTGGGCCCCACATGCTAGTTTTATGTTGAGTGCAGCTGTTTTAATGTGCAGTGACTTCTTCTGCATGAACAAGACAGCTGGTCTGATCGGGGTGGTGGGGTTCAACAGTAGTCTGGGCGCCCTGCACACCATGTACCAGCTGGGGGTCCATTACCTCACACTCCTGCAACACAGCGTGGTAAGAGCCAACAGCACGCAGACAATTTATGCCATCAAAGGAAAATATGCAGGTGTTTTGGAGAGCATGGAGGATTCCGGGAGGGAGATCCTGCTCTCCATATATCAGATTCTCTGGAAGAGCCAGTTTCATAGCAATGTGCTGTACAGCTGCAGCTTGCAGTGAGGACGTTAGTTCACTTAATTTACTGTAACAGTAGATGTCTGAGAGGAAACCGTCTGCGCTATACCTAAGGAAATGAAAACATTTCACTGAACTTTGGCTGGCTACTTTTTCACCTGCCTGTTGTTGACTTATGTACTGAATGTACATTTGTAATAATATGAACCATCAACTTTACTTGGGAATGAAGTTTTAATCAATACTTAAATGTAGGTGCACAGCTAGAAATGTGGTCTGTGATTATTCTTTGATAAATCCCAAAAAATCTAATTGAATTTCTTCCACTGATCAATTAGCTTTTTTCTTTTCTCCAAAATTCAAACTTAAAATTTCATGCTTCAGTACATGACCCAGGTATCCCCAGACATTAGTTCCATGACATGTTAAGCTTATCACATGTTGATGTGAAGTTCTAATCTGAAACATTAACTACCGACTATAGCAGACAAATACATGAGGTGGTAAAAAGTGGGAGAAGTAGTATGAAGTAAATATTACTGAGCTACTTGATACTGGATATAGAAAAGTATAACGTTTCAGAAGACCATAGTTGATTCAGTTCATGCACCAATACTGGCAATCTCTCTGTTAAAGTTGATAAAAATCCGGTTATTGTGCAGAACAGTAAAGTAAACAGATAAAGATGGGCTGTAGGAATCATCACGGTGAATTTATACAAAGATGATGTGACCTGCAGTGAGACCACCAACCTCTTAAAGTAGTGTTATGACAGTGACAGCTGCTGTAAACCTGGTTAAATGTTACCGTTTATCATTCTTTCTGTATCCATCTCATTTTTGCTGCTTTCATTGTAGATCACTTGGACCACATAAAGAAACTGGCCTGGGTGGGTATCGTCTGTTTTTTGGTGAAGATTATGATGTAATAAATGTGCTTGATAAGCATCTTACATGAGGAATGGGGCCCTACATGTACTGTAATGTACAGTTTTAATCACAATGAGATGACAATAGTGCAGATACAGTGCCTTGCGAAAGTATTCGGCCCCCTTGAACTTTGCGACCTTTTGCCACATTTCAGGCTTCAAACATAAAGATATAAAACTGTAATTTTTTGCGAAGAATCAACAACAAGTGGGACACAATCATGAAGTGGAACGAAATTTATTGGATATTTCAAACTTTTTTAACAAATAAAAAACTGAATAATTGGGCGTGCAAAATTATTCAGCCCCTTTACTTTCAGTGCAGCAAACTCTCTCCAGAAGTTCAGTGAGGATCTCTGAATGATCCAATGTTGACCTAAATGACTAATGATGATAAATAGAATCCACCTGTGTGTAATCAAGTCTCCGTATAAATGCACCTGCACTGTGATAGTCTCAGAGGTCTGTTTAAAGCGCAGAGAGCATCATGAAGAACAAGGAACACACCAGGCAGGTCCGAGATACTGTTGTGGAGAAGTTTAAAGCCGGATTTGGATACAAAAAGATTTCCCAAGCTTTAAACATCCCAAGGAGCACTGTGCAAGTGATAATATTGAAATGGAAGGAGTATCAGACCACTGCAAATCTACCAAGACCTGGCCGTCCCTCTAAACTTTCAGCTCATACAAGGAGAAGACTGATCAGAGATGCAGCCAAGAGGCCCATGATCACTCTGGATGAACTGCAGAGATCTACAGCTGAGGTGGGAGACTCTGTCCATAGGACAACAATCAGTCGTATACTGCACAAATCTGGCCTTTATGGAAGAGTGGCAAGAAGAAAGCCATTTCTTAAAGATATCCATAAAAAGTGTCGTTTAAAGTTTGCCACAAGCCACCTGGGAGACGCACCAAACATGTGGAAGAAGGTGCTCTGGTCAGATGAAACCAAAATCGAACTTTTTGGCAACAATGCAAAACGTTATGTTTGGCGTAAAAGCAACACAGCTCATCACCCTGAACACACCATCCCCACTGTCAAACATGGTGGTGGCCGCATCATGGTTTGGGCCTGCTTTTCTTCAGGAGGGACCGGGGAGATGGTTAAAATTGATGGGAAGATGGATGGAGCCAAATACAGGACCATTCTGGAAGGAAACCTGATGGTGTCTGCAAAAGACCTGAGACTGGGACGGAGATTTGTCTTCCAACAAGACAATGATCCAAAACATAAAGCAAAATCTACATTGGAATGGTTCACAAATAAACATATCCAGGTGTTAGAATGGCCAAGTCAAAGTCCAGACCTGAATCCAATCGAGAATCTGTGGGAAGAACTGAAAACTGCTGTTCACAAACGCTCTCTATCCAACCTCACTGAGCTCGAGCTGTTTTGCAAGGCGGAATGGGCAAAAATTTCAGTCTCTTGATGTGCAAAACTGATAGAGACATACCCCAAGTGACTTACAGCTGTAATCGCAGCAAAAGGTGGCGCTACAAAGTATTAACTTAAGGGGGCTGAATAATTTTGCACGGCCAATTTTTCAGTTTTTTATTTGTTAAAAACGTTTGAAATATCCAATAAATTTCGTTCCACTTCATGATTGTGTCCCACTTGTTGTTGATTCTTCACAAAAAATTACAGTTTTATATCTTTATGTTTGAAGCCTGAAATGTGGCAAAAGGTCGCAAAGTTCAAGGGGGCCGAATACTTTCACAAGGCACTGTATATGTTGCCAGCTTCATATGTGCATATTAGATAAGATTTTGGGTGTTAAACGCTTAATGGAAATGAGGAGGATGATTTCCCCCTGCATTTTTACTCTAGTCATAAATATTTAATCCCATTATTTAAATACATAACAGGCTAGAAAGATATTGTTGCATGGGAAGTCACAACACTGAAGAGATGGGGTGAGAAAGATACATAAATAAATTCAAGTATTAGAGACTTGACAGCTGGGAGGTAAAATCATCCTCTGTCTTCCTGTCAGAACAGCCGAGGGTTTGGAGGATGTGTCCAACATGCCCAAACTAGTGGATGAACTACTGAGGAGAGGATGGACCGATGAGGTGTCATGGCTGCTCTGGGAAATAACCTGCTCCGACTCCTGAGAGAGGCTGAGGAGGTGAGGAATGAACACAAGCACCAAACGAGCTCTGTGAGTGGCTCAGTTTACTAGAACAACTTAGCCCCTGAAAACAGCAGTATAATGTCCTTTTTTGGCTGTGAAGGAGTTTTGTCCAGTGAGAGAGAGACGTCTCTGATCTCAGCAGTGGATCTGAGCCATCTCAACATTTGGCAAAGTCAGTGTACAAGCAGGCATCTGCAAATTATGCTGTCAAACTGTAGTAAGTTACAGATCATCATAAAAATGTACACTTCCAGTGCATGACCAAGGTGTGGCCAAATCAAAGAAACTCTGTCCACAGGTGAAACATTCAGTTACTGTACCAGCATCTCTGAAGCTCACTAATAAAATTGCCTTGTTGGTTTTGTTTGTTCTGTACAAAAACTGGTGTATTTAACAAATTAAATTGTAGTTTCACAAGGCGTAAGGTCACTGCACCAATTCAAGAAATAGTTTGGAACATAACCCTCCATAAAACATTGTTTATTTTTATACATATCAAACAAAAGCTATAAAAGCATTATTATTAATGAGCTTACAGATTTTGTTTCCATGAATCAGACTAGCTGTTCTGCTTTTCCAGGCTTTATGCTATGTCAAACTAACATTACCTGGCTCCGGCTTCATATTTACCCTAATGCATATGAACGTGACATTTGTACTGATCTTCTCCTCTAAATCAGATACATCAGAGCTTTGGAAAATCCCACTTGTAATTATCTGGCATGACACTATTTCAGCTTTAAAAGAGATGCCATCAAGTTGCATTATGGGAAGTGTAGGAATCAGCCATTTTGGGCCATATCAGGGGCTGAAAGTCAGACTATCTTGGTCTCTGCTCCTCTACTGAAGTTAACTATATGGTTTTTTTCCTCCATGTTTAAACAGGTACCACTAGTAGCTGATAGCATGGGTTTCCATAGAGCAGACACAAAAATTAAGAAATATGTCCCAACTTAGTTCTTGTATCCCTAGGAGCCTGTTATCATGAAAGTAATAGGTGCATGACTAACCCACTTTTCAGTAAACAATCCTCTCTGCTGTTACCAAGTAGTTGCTCAAGGGGGATTTGTTGGGTTTTCCTCTATAATAATAATTTATTATTATAGTAAGGTCTAGACCTTAATTTGTAAAGTGTCCTGAGATAACTTTTGTTTTGATTTGGAGCTTTACAAATGAAACTGAATTGAATTATATTTTCTGTGCATGGTGGCTACAGCCATGTAAAGTAAACGTACGGCACGAAGCCAATCAGTCCCAAATGTGCATTCATATACTGAAACAAAACTTTTAGATTTCTGTTGCACAGACTAAATACTAATTGATTAATAAAACAGGTCAAAATTGATATATATTTTTATAATGCCAGGCTTGTTGCTTTGGTAGCAGGTGGACTTGCCTACCTGTCTGTTGCCTGACTGCCTTTTATTTGTATGTCAGGTTCGAGGCCGTCTGAACGGCACAAGTCCAAATGAAGTTCCTATTCCAGGTGAGGGGGTGAAGAACCTACCCACTGGTGCCACCCATCCACTCAGCACACTGGCCCTCCAGGCTCTGATCACATCAGCAGCTTCATAGGCTGCTTAGTGCAACTGATGGTATGTCAAGAGTTTGTCCGTAAATAGTACTGAAATCTGCAAACCTGTTTTAAATGTCAAATGATTGTTCCCTGCATATTCGTTTCTGCGCTGACAGAAATACTCAAGAGCAGCAGTTTAAGTTTTTCTGCTAATGAATTTCTTGCAGTTTTTCTGAGTTCTAAAAGTTAAAGATGGGGAAAATCATAGACGGACAATAATTATCATGTCAGACAAAGTAGTGGGCAAATGTAAGTGTGTGATAACCAGGACATGTATACAAAGTCACAAGTGTAATCTGAAAGCACATATTAGAAATAGTCCCCATTTCTAAAAGAAGAACACCACCTAGTGTCCAGTGTAATAATACATATTAAAGAGAGGTGCAACATGTCACTGACTTTAAAACTCACCAGTTTTGCTCATGCATCCATTGAATTTAATTTACAGTTAAGTTGCTCCATACTGTGGGAGGAAACTTTGACTTGGTTTAGTTCTGTAAACAGATGGCCTGGTGGTTAATATAAAAACAAGTCAGTAATTCTTAGTTCCTGAGGTTTTCACTTAACTTCATTTGCTCACTAAAGGTAAAATTAAGTAAACTGACTGTCAACGCACAAACTATTACACAATGTCTCCTTAAGGTTGATGAAGTATGTTTTAAATGATAACTTTTTCTTTTTTAACCCATTGTATTTCCCATAAACATGTGGGCATTTAGACTCTATAGCCAGTGCTAATTTTGGCATCAATACCTCTGTCAGAAATTCGGGGAAACAAAAAGCCGTGTTACTGAGGCAATAGGTTAGTCTCAGAGTGCTCAGGCTGAACGTGATTTCACTCAAATCATTCATCAACCTTATTTCTGAGTCAAAGAAAATACAAGATGTAGCCATATCAGCTATCTGCATAGGATGATCACCTGATTATCAGGTCAGCCAGTAGGTTGACCCAGATGTACAGTGCATCCAGAAAGTATTCACAGCGCTTCACTTTTTCCACATTTTGTTATGTTACAGCCTTATTCCAAGATGGATTAAATTCATTATTGTTTTCAACATTCTACAAACAATACTCCATAATAACAATATGAAAAAAGTTTTTGAAATCTTTGCAAATTTATTAAAAATAAATGAGAGAAAAAAATCCCATGTACATAAGTATTCACAGCCTTTGCCATGACACTCAAAATTGAGCTCTGGTGCATCCTGTTTCCATTGATCATCCTTGAGATCTTTTTACAACTTGATTGGACTTGATTTGGAAAGATATACACCTGTCTACCGTATTTAACCCCCACAGTTAACAGTGCATGTCAGAGCACAAACCAAGCCATGAGGTCAAAGGACTTGTCTGTAGATCTCCGAGACAGGATTGTATCAAGGCACAGATACATTTCTGCAGCATTGAAGGTCCCAATGAGCACAGTGGCCTCCATCATCCGTAAATGGAAGACATTTGGAACCACCAGGACTCTTCCTAGAGTGGGCCGCCTGGCCAAACTGAGTGATCGAGAGAGAAGGGCCTTAGTCAGGGAGGTGACCGAGAACCTGATGGTCACTTAAAGAGCACCAATGTTTCTCTGTGGAGAGAGGAGAACCTTCCAGAAGAACAACCATCTCTGCAGCACTGTGGCCAGACAGAAACCTCTCCTCAGTAACAAGCACATGACAGCCCGCCTGGAGTTTGCCAAAGGGCACCTGAAGGACTCTGACCATGTGAAACAGAACTCTCTGGTCTGATAAAACAAAGATTGAACTTTCTATCCTTAATGCCAAGTGTCATGTCTGGAGGAAACCAGGCACCGCTCACCACCTGGCCAATACCATCCCTACAGTGAAGCATTGTGGGGATGTTTTTCAGCGGCAGGAACTGGGAGCCTAGTCAGGATCGAGTGAGCCTAAGCACACAGCCAAGATAACAAAGGAGTGGTTACGGGACAACTCTGTGAATGTCCTTGAGTGGCCCAGCCAGAGCCCAGACTTGAACCCGATTGAACATCTCTGGAGAGATCTGAAAATGGCTGTGCACTGATGCTCCCCATCCAACCTGATGGAGCATGAGAGTACTGCAAAGAAGAATGGGAGAAACGGCCCAAAAATAGTTGTGCCAAGCTTGTAGCATCATACTCAGACTTGAGGCTGTAATTGGTGCTAAAGGTGCTTCAACAAAGTATTGAGCAAAGGCTGTGAATACTTATGTATATGTGATTTTTTTTTAAATTGTTAATAAATTTGCAAAGATTTCAAAACCTTTTTTCACATTGTCATTATGGGGTATTGTTTGTAGAATTTTGAGAACAATCATGAATTTAATCCATTTTGGAATAAGGCTGTAACCTAGCAAAATGTGGAAAAGGGTAAACGCTGTGAATACTTTGTGGATGCACTGTAAATTCCTGTGTAGTTATCTGTAATGACTACCCCAGACAGCAGCCCCGATCT